GTTCCACTTTCGCCTGTTCCCACATCCGCGCTCTGCAGGCGCCGAATGGTAAACTCGCTCGCGGCTTGCTAGGCTGTTCTAAAAGTCTACACCACGATGATGGTGGGGGTGATGGTGATGATGGTGGTGGTGATGATGGTGGTGGTGATGGAGGTGGTGATGGTGGTGATGATGATGATGGTGATGATGGTGGTGGTGATGTTGGTGATGGGGGTAGTGATGGCTTTGATGGTGGTGATGATGGTGGTGGTGGTGATGATGATGATGGTGGTGATGATGGTGGTGGTGATGTTGGTGATGGGGGTGGTGATGGTTTTGATGGTGGTGATGATGATGATGGTGATGATATCAGAGCCACGTAGCCTCTACATAACCCAGGGGGGTTGCTTCTGAAAAAAAAGGGCGGCAAACTGCAGAGCGGCCCTTGCCTCGTAGCATCACCACAGATGAGTTCAGCAGCTTGCGTCTCTGTACGGGGCTCTGTGCATCTCTTTGGGTCTCTGTGTGTCTCCATGGGTCTCTGTGTGTCTCTATGGGTCTCTGTGTGTCTCTATGCATCTCCATGGGTCTCTGTGTGTCTCTGTGCATCTCCATGGGTCTCTGTGTGTTTCCATGGGTCTTTGTGTGTCTCTATGGGTCTCTGTGTGTCTCTATGGGTCTCTGTGTGTCTCTATGCATCTCCGTGGATCTCTGTGTGTCTCTATGCATCTCCATGGGTCTCTGTGTGTCTCCATGGGTCTCTGTGTGTCTCTATGGGTCTCTGTGTGTCTCTATGCATCTCCGTGGGTCTCTGTGTGTCTCTATGCATCTCCATGGGTCTCTGTGTGTCTCTGTGCATCTCCATGGGTCTCTGTGTGTCTCCATGGGTCTCTGTGTGTCTCTATTCGTCTCCGTGCGTCTCTGTGTGTCTCTATTCGTCTCCGTGAGTCTCTGTGTGTCTCTATGCATCTCCGTGGGTCTCTGTGTGTCTCTATGCATCTCCGTGGGTCTCTGTGCATCTCCATGTGTCTCTGTGTGTCTCTGTGTGTCTCTGTGCATCTATGTGGGTCTCTGTGTGTCTCTATGCATCTCTGTGGGTCTCTGTGTGTCTCGATGTATCTCTGTGGATCTCTATATGTCTCTATGCATTTATATGGGTCTTTGTATGTCTATGTGACTCTGTGTGTCTCTGTATCTCTATGAGTGTCTGTGTGTCTCAATATATCTCAATGAGTCTCTGTGTGTGTCTATGTATTTATATGGGTCTCTGTGGGTCTCTGTATCTCTATGAGTCTCTGTGTGTCTATGAATCTCAATGGGTCTCTGTGTGTCTCTATATCTCTTTGAGTCTCTGTGTGTGCACTAAACATCGCCACTGGGGAGACAAAGGCGGCCGGGCGTGGTGCTGGCCACCCACACCCTCGTGTGCCGTGCCGGCCTTCATAGGTAGTCGCTAACAGCACTTGCCCCTACAGCCTGCTCGAGGTTACACAGCGGATCTTTGTCTGTGTATAGGTGCTACAAACAGCACTTGCCCCTACAGCCTATTGAGACTACATGGGGGATCTTTGTTTGTGTGTAAGTGCTACTAACAGCACTTGCCCCTACAGCCGGCTAGAGGCTACACGGGGGATATTTGTCTGTGTGTAGGTGCTACGAGCAGCACTTGCCCCTACAGCCTGATAGAGGCTACACGGGGGATCTTTGTCTGTGTGTAGGTGCCACTGGCAGCACTTGCCCCTACAGTCTGCTGAGACTATACGGGGGATCTTTGTCTTTGTGTTTATTCAGGAGCCGTCCGAAGAGGATGAACATCGCAACTCAAGGCACAGCACCACCGTCGCTCAAATTTCAAATTCCTCAAACGTTCAGATTGGACGAGGGAATGTCTTGAACGCGATCTCCTACCACACAGGTGAGAGGGTGTTGTTGTTGTTTGTAAGTAAACACACTGCGTCCATGATAAGGTTGTTTTTGTTTGCGTTGGATCGCGTGAAATATGAATAAAATAAAAATTCAAATGATAAATTTTAAATAATAAAAGCAAAAAAACACACAATATGAATAATACAATTTAAATAGTGAAATAAAAGTGAAAATTTTACTTAAAAATAATAAGTTGAAAATAATAAAAGCAAAAAGAAACCACGACGTTTTTATGGCAACACCAGCGGTCTTCATCAGGCGGAGAGATGAAGACCGCTGGTGTTGCCAAAAAAACGTCGTGGGCTTTTGTTGCTTTTATTATAACATTTTAATTAATTTTAAAATTATTATTATGTTTATTTTATTTTCTGTCCACATGACTTTACCGAAAGAACCAAATAATATGAATTATTGCAGTCACGAACGTTTTAAGTCAGAATAAAACTTCGTGTCGTTAAACCCCGCCCACATCGCCCGACACAGCCAATTGCTGAGGAGCTTTGCGTCACGTGACAAGAACGTGGTGCCAATTGGCGACTCTTTCGGCACTAACCAGTGGTGGTGTTGGAGAGTAAACCCACTACAACATGTACAGTCAGTGTAGTGTATAGTAGTGTATAGTGTAGTGTATGTATAGTGTAGTGTATGTATAGTGTAGTGTGTAGTGGAAAGTAGTGTATAGTGTAGTGTGTAGTGGAAAGTAGTGTATAGTGTAGTGTATAGTAGTGTAGTGTATAGTGTAGTGTATAGTGTAGTGTATAGTAGTGTATAGTGTAGTGTATGTATAGTGTAGTGTGTAGTGGAAAGTAGTGTATAGTGTAGTGTGTAGTGGAAAGTAGTGTATAGTGTAGTGTATAGTAGTGTAGTGTATAGTAGTGTAGTGTATAGTGTAGTGTATAGTGTAGTGTATAGTAGTGTATAGTGTAGTGTGTAGTGTATAGTGTAGTGTATAGTAGTGTATAGTGTAGTGTATGTATAGTGTAGTGTGTAGTGGAAAATAGTGTATAGTGTAGTGTGTAGTGGAAAGTAGTGTATAGTGTAGTGTGTAGTGTATAGTAGTGTAGTGTATAGTAGTGTAGTGTATAGTGTAGTGTATAGTAGTGTATAGTGTAGTGTGTAGTGTATAGTGTAGTGTATAGTAGTGTATAGTGTAGTGTATGTATAGTGTAGTGTGTAGTGGAAAGTAGTGTATAGTGTAGTGTGTAGTGTAGTGTATAGTAGTGTAGTGTATAGTAGTGTAGTGTATAGTAGTGCAGTTTATAGTGTAGTGTATAGTTTAGTGTATAGTGTAGTGTGTAGTGTAGTGTATAGTGTAGTGTATAGTAGTGTATAGTGTAGTGTAAGTCACGTAGGTAAAACATCAAAATTAATAAAAAAAATATTTTTTATTATTTTATTTTTATTAATTTTGATGTTTTACCTACGTGACTTTACCGAAAAAAACCTAAGAATAAGACTATCTCACTCATCTTAAGGCCAATGTAGACACATTGTTATCGAGGCTTCCCCAGATGTTTCCTATGTGTACATTGCCAGTAGACCCCCCCCCCATAGGCAAGCGAACGCGTTTGAGTCACCCCCCCCCCTCTATGCGAACTCAACTGAGGGCCCCCCACTTGACCATACTTCACCACGCTGGTCGGCGCGGTCTGGCGCAGGAAGCGGCGAGCGTGGAGGGGACCCCACGTCTCCCGCGGGGTTCAGGGCTCCGTGGGGAGGCGCTCATCCAGCAGTGGAGTGGCGCGGGAGGCTTCTATAACACACCTTTCTTAATGTTTCATTAAAGTTAATTGTTTATAAATAATTCTAGATTTGAAGCTTTCGTGACTGCAAGGATTCATATGCTTAGGTTTTTTCGGTAAAGGCACGTAGGTAGAACATTAAAATTAATAAAAGTAAAATAAAATAAAAATCACGACGTTTCGGAGGCAACACAAGTCTCCGTCATCAGGTGGGACCGTCACAGCTACATTTACTTGAAAATAATTTACTTGAAAATAATTGCCTCCGAAACGTCGTGATTTTTATTTTATTTTACTTTTATTAATTTTAATGTTTTACCTACGTGACTTTACCGAAAAAACCTAAGAATATGTTTATAAATACATTAATATTCAGTCGTGTACAATTAAAGCCGATGTCTACATCGTTGCAAAACGATATATGAACTTAATACAAAGGTATGCTAATGTTAAGGAATACACTTTCAACATTAGCGATTTCACACTATACGGTATTAGCCTTAAGAATGGCAATCACGTTTCCAAACCATGCCCGATGATGCTGGATGCAATTACCAGCGAAACGTCGTACTCAAATTGTAAATGTTGTGGCTTCAACACACCGGTGGGCTAAAGCAGTGAACTATTTGTCTTTTGTCAACGTGACACTTTTTTACTGATTGGCCGTGTCAGGTGGTGGAGGGTTACGACACATTTATAAATAACGCGATCTAAACCCAAAAACGTTGATTATGAAGATGACTCTACCCCGAGGGGCCACTTTAGCCAGCACCTGTGACAGGAGGTCATAGAAGGCATCTGACTTATCGACCTTGCCTGCATCCCTCCACGGATGTTCGTCTTCAATGTGGGCATAAGTAACCACAACCACCACTCCTCATCACTGGTTGATGGGAAGACAAGCCCAAAGTAGCCTGGAGCTTACAGCTTCCCACACCTCACCGCCACGCTCCCCTTCATTCTTTTGTTCAGAAGAAGAGCCACTCCCTGTTGTCTCCTGCCCCGAGTAGAGGACTGTCCACCACTCTTGGTGGCAGGAGCCAGAGCCGGTCCACCAGACCCACTGAATGCCACAGAGATCCCGGCGGTACCGGTCCAGCTCCCGACAGGGGAGTCGCAGCCTCTCCTACGCAGTGAGCATTCTAACATTCCACGTGGCCATCTGTAGTGGTTTTTTGTTGTTTCTGGAGGAGCCCCGAGGGTAAGGATTCAGTCTCCTGGCTGCGCCAAATGGGATTTGGCTGGGAGACGTCATAGACGCCTGTCACCCCGGGGCCTCCGGCACAGGCTTTTTTTCAATAAAATTTTGCGGTCGTGGTTTAGTGGTAATTAATTGAAGGTGGAGGGGTTACCAGCCCCTCGCACCAGTCCAGAGCCCCCATTTAGCCGCTGTGGTGGCTACAAGCGCCATGAGAGGAAAGGCCAATCGGAAATTGTCCCTCCCCCCACGACACTGCCCACGACAGCGTTGCCCGTTCGGCACCACAAGGAGATAGGAGGTTTTGATTTAAAGCTTTCGTGACTGCAGGAATTCATATTCTTGGTTCTTTCGGTAAAGTCACGTAGAAGGGAAATAATAAAATAAAAAAATATACAACAATATTGTTTTATATTTATAATATTTATTATTTCCCAATATATTGTTTAATATTTATATTATTTATTATTTCCCTAGCTACACACACAGCTACACACACAGCTATACACACAACTACACACACACAGCTATACACACACAGCTACAGACACAGCTACACACAAACAGCTACACATACACCTACACACACAGCTACACACACACACCTACACACGACACACACACCTACACACACCTACACACACACCTACAACTACACACACACAGCTGCAGACACAGCTTCAAACCACACACTAC